GGGGGGGGGGGGGGGGTACCGTATTACACTATATAGAGCACAAAAATCCTTTCAGAGCGGCATTCGATTTCATTGTATTGACGTCGCAAAAATGTAGTCGACGCTGGTTTTGAGGGTAGGACACGTGGGCCGTTTATTAATGAGCAACAACGAGTTAACTTTAAAGAAAGACAAAAAACCGAAAAGACGAATACAGTAATAATAATCTTCGCTTAATATCGCGGCACTTTCGCTGACGTCCACAACTCGGTGTCCAGCATGATCCTCGGCGTCAAAAAGTTAGCAGCTATAATGGCGACGGTGCGCGGGCGCGGATCGGTTCGTCGAGTCCGGTAGTTCGGCACGTCCGGAACCGGGGCGAACATCCTCGACGTTGTCACGCTGACAACGGGAAGAAGACTCAACGTATCATTTGCGGCGGGTCGTCGTCGGCTGTGTGGCATTTGCTGGACTTTGCACCGTGGCGTATGGCACGCGGTGTTGGCCAGTCAAATACTCATAGTAGGGCGACGGCTGATAAAGGTGGCACGAGTCGCGGGGCATCGCGTACAACAAAGCGACGCGATTTGATTGATATTTATCAAATCATCTCACAGCCATTTGCAAAAAAAAAAAGAAGCAAGTAAATTTATGGTATCCCAATTATTTGGAGTTAATAAGTTTGAATAAAGGATGACAAAACAATGGATCATTTATTAAATCAATATCTTTAAGTGTTAATTTTGACTGGTTGGTTAAAATATTATACATTAGAACATTATATGGTATTCGTGAACTGGCTCCGCTGTTTCGTTGCCACTTAGTTAGGACATTAGAAAAACAAAAGTTTATTACACTTCAATTTCTAATGTACTGCGTTTATTATTTTTATATCTACTTGTCTTTGTCGTTCTAAACCCTCGAACCATATGACGCCGATGGAACCACAACCTGATGTTCTCACCATATACAAGACCTACTTCTAATTTAATCATTTTTATTTTATTAATTTTTGTTATTTGAATTATAACAATGGAAAATAGTATAAAGTATAAATTTAATTTCTTGTCAATTCGCAAGACATTGAATTTCTAAAATGTAATTTATTTTTTATTGAATTGTTAGAATAATCTAAAAAGCATTGAGATATTATTAATATCAGCATTTCGTTATTTTGTACCTTGGGATATTCTACTGCAAACAAACTTGAGTGGAAAATTATACAACAATATTCAAAATTTTCTGTAATAATAGATTTATCTAATTTTAAAAATTTAATTATTTTTTGACTCATTTCTTTTGGATGAATTTCACGAGAAATTATATCATCTCCCAGACTCTTAAAAATTGATTGAATTCTTCTGTAAAATTACAAATTAATAACGATAAATTAATTATACATCTGAATAACTCATTCAAAAATTAATACTATTTAAAATAAATAGTTGCAACATTAAAATACAAATAATTATATAAAATTTAAAAAGATGCTAATTGGATAGACATTATTCTCATTCATTTTTATTTTGGTTAAGATTTTATTTTGTATTTGTATTAGGATTTTCCTAAGGTTTTAAAATGATTTTTAGGATTATTAATAATTTTTTACAAAACTAAATAGATTATAATGTTGCAAAGATGTTTGACATTCGTATTAGGTTTTTCTTAAGGCTTTAATATGACTTTTAGGATTATATACAGTTTATTTTCTTGTAAAAATATAGTGGCTCAATTGATATTATAGTAAATTAAAAAAAAATTATACTTCTTTTACAAATGTAATGATCAGCGTTTAATGAATTATTTTAATTATATAAGGATGTCAAAGTTATTTCAACGTCTTACCATAATTCATTTGTTCAAAACCATTTATGTTTAAATTAGCAATGCAATTATGGAATGCATTTTGTGCTTGTGGTAAATTTTTGGATGACAAATAATTAATAACTTTATTAAGTTTAACACCTGCTGATGTTGATAATATTAGTCCCTAAAAAAAAATTAGTTTTACTACTACGTGTACATGGTAATTGGACTGACCAACACAGCCTGCCATAAGGTACAAAGTCCAGCAAGTGTCGCTGGCCCGACGACGACCCGTCGCAAATATTGGTCGAGTCTGCTTCAGGTCGTCGATGATTTAAGCCACTGGCTCTGGACGTGTTGCGCAACCTGACAAGATGAACCGATACCGCACCGTCGCCATCAACGCTGTTACTATTGACGTCCGAGAACCATGTCGGTCACCACATCTCTGACAACAGCGAAAGTGCCGCGATTTTATGCGAACATTATTATTAATTGGGTTCGTCATTTCGATTTCTTTTTTTTAATAATCTTTTGTTGTTCTTCAGTAATAAACGACCCATGCCTCTGTACCATCTATATCAGTGTCGACTACATTATTGTGACGTAAGTCGTGTCAATTATAATTTCAAATTTATCTATGTACTCTTCAGATAGTAATAGACATTTAAAATTGCTAAACAAATAAAAAAACTGCCGTTTTCAACGATTGTAATTTTCATATATTTTCGTAAATATGTCGGTGTGTCCTTTTTAAACAGTTCCGTATTTATAAGCAATTATCGGGTTTACATACGATTTATGCGCTTGTGAGTCGAGTAGAGCTGTGACGAAGCCATTTTGGAATTCTAACTCGACTGCTGGAGTAGTAATTCTACGCGGGCATTTTCATTACTCGGGTGGTTTACGGTTCGAACGAGGGGCAGCTGGTTCTTAACCGCGACGCCGGTTTGCCCACTGACAGTGTTAACTGCCATTAGTGGATTAGCCGGGTCGACTGACACCCCCTCCTCCACTGTGCCCGAAAAAGTTTCGAACACCTGACTTGCGCTATGTTCGGTCGTGTCGGCAGTGTCTTCGAATTCCGATACCCTGATTACATACGAATTTACCGCGGCGTACCCTCCATCCCGATAAGAGGGTGTGGTGCCGAAAAAGTGCCAAGATCGTTGGCGGAATGTAACTCGTAAGGGCCGTTAGATTCGGTGTTTTGCGCGACGGTCGTGATTCGTGTTATGTTGTTACCTGATAAAAATTACGTAGGGCGCGTTTTAACTGAAACGTCGTTTAAAACGCTGCGCCCTTTTTGGATCTGTTGTATGCTTGGGGGGGGGGGCGGACTAATTCCCTCCTAGCCGATTGCCGTTTCCCGATACCGACGGTCTATTTGGGCGATGCCAGTGTCACTCGCTGCAATATCGGCACGGGGATGGCGGTGCGTCCGCGTTTGCATAACCCGCTCGCTGTCGGGCCGCTGGTTGAGCATTATGCCGCGGAGGCAGTTCGGCTGGCTGTAGGGTCGTTGGTGGAGCGTACCGAGGAGCCGCGGTCTTATCTACGTCGTGCGCTATCTCATGTAGATCGGCGAAAGACGCTGGGTGCATTAACCGTATCATAGCGCGGTAATCGTCCCGTAAAAGCCCCGTTAACTGTCGCAAAAGTTGTTGTTCTGGTAACCCACAACGTACTCGCGCGGCCAAACGTTGTTTATGAATAATAAACTCGGTTAACGTTTGTCGGGGGCCCTGTCGCGTCGTTTTTAAGTCCGTCTCGAGCGCAGTCCCGATATCGATATTGTCGAACTCCTCGAGTAATTCGGACCTAAAGTCCGTCCATGGCATATTGTTTAATTTAATCGCTCGCCACCAATCACCTGCCCTGTCGTTCAAAAACGGGACGACGACGCGGTTGGGTGTATACCGCCCCGACAGAGTAGATCCTCCGCTCTATCTAGAAACTCCCGTGGGTCCTCTTCGTTTCTCCCGTAATACTCAGCTAAGCAGGCGCGTACGGTGCGCAGGTCGTGGTAGGGTACCAATACCGACTGCGAGCTGCGGGTAGGCAACAAATCATTAAAGGACCGACGTCCGTCGGTTGTGTTGAATTGCCCCTCCCGCGGTTGACGCGTAAACTAAAAATCGGTCGGCTCGTATGAGTGCGCTGATAATGTTCGTCCTGCTAACCCCTGCAACACATCCGTGGT